ACTGCCAGACAGAATTTTATAAATAAATAACTCATGTGTCCACCTTACCTGAACCCAGGTTTTTAGCTGTATTCTGTGATTTCTGCATTTCACTTGATTTGAAAGTGAGGTCTTCCTGCATGATCTTCAGCTCTTGATTTGTTACAGAAGATATCTGCTTCATACGATTTACATTCTTTACAATGAAAAAAGAAGAACAAAACATGACACCTTCAAAATATACAGATATGGATGGTGAATGAACATTCAGAGAAGTTGGAGCTTCCATGCTACTTAATTCAACTGCAAGAATCCCATTAGAAAATTTGAGAGTATGTGTCAAAAGGAGGATCAATGTAATCTTTTTAGATCTTTGTATTACCTACTTAACATGTGGGAGACAGGCCAAAGGTGAACAAAATGTTACAAAGTCTCTGGAATTTGAGACAGTGCAACTGAGGATAAATATTTGTTCCAAACAAAAGAATACCACCTCACATACTAAGAAAAACCTTAATCTTTCAATTTTAAATGCCTAATTAAGAAAAAAATCTATTTCAGGTAACAAGGATATGAACAGCCCATAATAAGAACCAAGTATAGTTTATGTAGAGCCAGCATGGTGTGGTGGTTCGAGCGTTGGACTAGAACTCTGGAGACCATGGTTCGATTCCCAGTTTGGTCATGAAACTCACTGGGTTATCTTGGGCAAGTCACAGTCTCAGAGGATGGAAATGGCAAAATCCGTCTGAACAAATCTTGCCAAGAAAATCCCAATGTAGGTTCGCCTTAAAGTCGTCATAAGTCAGAAACAACTTGAAGGTACATTACAGCAACAGCATAGTTCATCTACAGCCAGCATGGTGCACTGGCATGAGCACTGGAGATCAGGATAGAGACCAGGGTTCAATTCCCTGCTCAGTCATGGAAACCCTCTAGATGACCTTGGCTGGGTCACACTCTCAGTCCTAGAAAACCCTGGTAAGTTTACCTTAAGATCATCATAAGTAACAAATGATTTGAAGGCACACAACAATAAATTGTTCATGTGACCAATGGAGATGAGCATAATTATGTTAAAACAGTAATGAAATAATAAATGGACTGGCATTCTGGAAGATTTTAAAAAGAACACAGAGGAATTTCATTTACAGGTTGCGCTGAGGAAAAGAAGATAAATTACTACCAATATCTTCTTTTAGCACTGAAGAATGGAATATGGAATTCTGGGAATAGTAGTTTGTTGTGGCACAGAGCTCTGTGATAAAGAAAGCTAAATGACTCACAAAACTACAATTCTCAGAATTCCATAGTATTAAGCCATGGCAGTTAAAGCAGTGTCAAACTGGATTATTTCTGCAGTGCAGACATATCCTGACAAGATAGCTCTCTTTAAATATCTGAAGGAATATCATGCAGCTTGCTTTCTGCTGCTCCAGGAACTAGAACATGAACTAAAGGACTCCAATTTCAAGAGAAGTGATTCCACATAAATATTAGGAATAACTTTTTACTGAAGAGCCAAAGAAGGATTAGGAATAACTTTTTACTGAAGGTAATTTTTTACTGAAGAATCTATTCAACAATGGAACAGATTGCCTCAAAGGGTGGTGAACTCTTAGTCTTTCGAGGACTGTAAAGAGAAGTTGGATGAGCATCTTTAAGGAGTTCTTTAGTTGTGTATTCTTACATGGCAGGGGATTAGGATTAGGTGGCCCTTTTGGTCCATTCCAACTCTATGATGGACAGGTTGCTTATCTGTAACTGTATTTCTTCGAGCGGTCATCAGCAAATTCTCACAAATGGGTTATGTCTGTGCCTGTGCAGCTGGTTTGGAAACGTCTAGTATTGCTAGGCAGAACTTCAATTGCAACTTTTTGGCGGTAGCTCTGCCCATCCCTATAAAGCCCCTGGCGTTCCTGCTCTTTCTCCATTTGTCCACCGCATTCCCAATCCTTCTCCAGTTTTGTAACATACTCTGAATAACAGTGACAGAAGAATCTTAGCAGTGAGCAGGGCACGACGATGGGAGGATGGGTGGGATTTGTGTGAATTTGCAGATGACCACTCAAAGAAATACAGTTACAGGTAAGCAACCTGTACTTCTTCTTCATGGTCCCTGCAAACCACACAAATGATTAAACTGACAAGCTTTGGTCAGTGGAGGAGGGAGTGTCATGACACCAATTTGAAAGTTCAAACAAGTTGTAATTTTATTAACAACAATAAAACTTTGAAACTTTAAAAGTGCATTTGTCAGTGTCATTTCTTTGGTTTGAAAGGTATATAAAACATGCAATGCAATTAACATTCAGTTAAGAAAGCAACACTGCCCTCCTAAAGGTGGTGTCCCATCTGGCCCTTGTGTCCAGCCTATAATGTTTGACAAAAGTCAATAGCTGGGACCAGACAGCAGCCATGAAAACATCCTCCAGAGGCACCCCAGTCAAAAAAGTGGAGGATGCAGCTACCACCCTAGTTGAGTGTGCTCGCACTTGGAGTTGGGATGCAAGTTGGGTTGCAGCAGAGTTGGTCAGCATCATAAAGCAGGAGGTATCAACTGCTGTGGAAGTCATATACCAAGACCAGATAATGCGGTAGGAGGTTATCCTGAGGTGAAGGCTCATCTTGTAGCCTAGCCTCCTCGTCTGCCTCGACTTCAAGGGTTACTCAGTTTTGACAAAGGGGTCTATCAAGGGGCTGGGCCTGAGGGTTCTCTTGAATTTGAGTCCGAGGGCTTTCAACGTCAACCCGACTGGCTAAGTACGGGGTCAGGGATGGTGTTTCTAGTTCCTGGCTCTCTCCCTCTGACTCGGTATCGATGTGGACGACCTGAGGAACATTTCCCAATGGAGTTGGGAGCATTTCAAGCCAGGGGAGAGAAGCCGCTTGGGCTGGATCAGATCCGAGGGCTGCAGATGGAGTTTTAGCCGAAGCCAAAGACTCTCCACAGCCAGTTTTTCTCAGCTAGGGAGCAGAGCGGTCCCTTTTGGAGGCTGAATGATCAGCTGGTCTATCTCCCTTCAAGAGGGAAGGTTTATCATCCAAGTGTTTTTGCCTGGAAGTCCTTTTGGACCCTTCGTCCCTGCAGTCTTTTTCAGACAGGGAAGCCTTCTTGACTTTGGAAGATTTTTCCCAGGACTTCCCTCTGTCCTTTTCTTTCTCCTTACTGGAGGTAGAGGGAACCTCAGCCAAGGTGTCCTGGGGCACGGGGGCAGAGGCCGGTCACAGAGCTTGCTCCCACAGGGCCGCTTGAGTTACATGTCCTGTTTTTTAAGAGCCTGGGTGGTCATGACATTCCAATGCGGGCAGGTCTTGACGTTGTGGGCCTCCCCCAAACACAAAACACACTGATCATGGAGATCAGTAGTAGGGATTTTGTCACCACACTTGTCACATCGCTTAAATGAAGCCATTTTCAACTGAAGTTGAAAGGCAAAATTGGCAGTACAAATAATAAGTTAAACAGTCTGAGGTTGAGCTATCAGTGACTATCTCAAATCCAAAGTCCAAAAGAGTGGTCAAAGTCCAGAAAAATGGTCAAAGTTCAAGCCGTTAGGTGAATCTGAAAGGGAAACAAGCAACTCTAACAGAGCAAAGTTCCTTTCTAGCTGCTAATGCAGTGGACAAAAGGAACTGGATAAAGAGTAGGAACGCCAGGAGCTTTATAGGGATGGACAGAGCTACTGCCAAAAAGTTGCAACTGAAGTTCTGCCTAGTGATACTAGAATTTTCTGGACCAACTGCACAGGTGCAGACATAACCCATTTGTGTGATTTGCAGAGACCATGAAGAAGAATCTAAGAATTTTTTTGTTCATTTCTTAACATAAGAGGCCAACAAGAGTCAGAGGGTGAAACTAAGGCAACATTGTTTGTGAAGGTGGCCATCAGTGGGAAGAAGAAAACAGAAAGTTCAGTGCAGATACAATTATGGCTTCCTTTGACTGTGTTTTTAAAAATGAGGTGCAAGTTTTGGGAACATAATCTGGTTTCCTCCAGGAGCAGATTTTTTCCATTGGCTTTGACTTCAGTTAAGTAGCATGTTGGCACCAATATTTATGAAGTTAAGTTAGCTAGAGTTAACATGTAACTAGAATCTGAAACTATGATTTGAAGTAGGTTATAGTTCATGGGATAAGCCAGAAGAGGGGGATTTGTTTCAGGGAGGAGAAGGTCCAAATGAGGTTAAGAAGCATGCATTTCCAAGACTGCCTCTTCATTTGTTAACTGCCATTAACAGGAAACCTGCATTATCTCTACACTGCCTCAAAAAATAAAGGGGATGAGGAATGCATTTTGCACAATCTCTGTGAAAGCAGGGAGAATCCTTTCTCAAGTCTTGTGGCTGAACCACTGTAAGCTTTAGTTTGATTTCCTTTCTGAAGAAAAATGGAAGAATAACAAAGAACCTAAAGATAATGTCTGCAAATGGCTTTATTATTCATAAGATAAATATAACTGCAGCTGATATCTTTTCAAATCTATTTAAAATTAAGTAGTAATTGCCTACATTATGAAAAAGGGATTAAGAACTTCATCCACATTTAATGAACTGTAAATCACAGTGAAATCAATGGGGCTTACTTCTATATAAATGGGCATAGGATTGGAGGCAAAGCCACTTACCCTGCTTGAGTGCTCCAAAAGTGCCACAATATTGGCCTCTATCTGTGTTTTCCGTTCCAGTTCCTGGTTCTTCGTCTCTTCAAAAGATTCAAGAAAGTCTAAAGATTGAAAAACAAGATAAGAGAGGCTGTTGTTTATAAAAGGAACAGCAGACAAATGCTGAAATGTTACTTAATAGCTGTAGGCATTTTATATTAAAAAGCAAACTTAGCAAAAATATAAACAAACAACTAAAAGCAATTTAAATAGAACAGAAGAGACCATTAGGAAGACAAACGTGTATGAAAATCTAGAAAGGGAGCCAGTGTTTGTTGCATTTAACTGACCTTATAGTATTTGTTTAGTGATCCAGCAATGGCAATGTATATATAGAAGAGAATTAATACACATGAAGAGCCACATATACAGGAAGCTCTCCATTTCATTTCTAAGTGAGACCATGGATGAGGAAACAATGGGACCTCTAGGTGCTGTACTACAACTCCCATCATCCTTGACCAGTGGCCATGCTATCAAGGGTGGTGGAAACCTGGGGATCTGTAACATTCTGCTCAATCCGGAATTAGAAAAAGTTTTGGACTTGCATTAACGTATTCCATAAGAGACCTGCAGAACTTAAAACTATTCCATTAACATTATGAGCAGCTTAAATACTCTGGCCAGAATGCATTGGTGATTTAAACACCATTCTACAAGTCGTTAGACATTTGTTAGTGGTTGCACAACTGTAGCATTCTATTCGAAGTTGTGCAGGTCCTGTGATGGCACTGCACAAGTGTAGGCATGTTGCTTAAGAGGTTTGAAAAATGCAGTCTTTGGCAGTGGCTGAGGAGTGATAGTTGTATGAGAGAATACATGGCTGGGCTATCTGCTCCTGTGACTTGTTATGCAATCCAGGATTGCAGTGTAATTACATTTGAGTAGCATTTTATACTATGTAACCTGTAACTAGAATCTTGGATCTGTTTCCTTTTTTTTAATTTAAGTAGTTGAATCTTGTTTACAAATTTCACCAACCATGCCTTCAAGTTGCACATATCAACAATCTTGAGGCATA